TATATATATATATATATATACAGTAGTCCCTTGTTTATCGCACGGGATCTGTACTCTGAAGCCCCATGATAAGTGGAAAACTGTGAAGTAGTGATAGTAGTACCAGTAGTAAGTAGTTGTTTATTTTAATAGTTATATATATATATATGTAAAAGTGTAAACAATGTTTCTAAACTCTAAACACTCTAAAAGAGCACAGAATGTCATGATTTCAGCTCCATGCCTCCGCAGCTATCAGCCACCTGAAAGTGCTCTAGGCCACGCCCACGTCTCCACGCTGCATGGAGATCAGCAGATCAGCTGCAGAAATACTACTTACTACTTGTACTACTATTCCTACTTCACAGTTTTTCACTTATTTCAAAGCTTCAGGGTACGGATCCTGTGCGATAAACGAGGGACTACTGCATTCATTTCCCCATTTCATATGGTATGGGTATAATTTTACCAGATTATTAATGCATTTTTAAATATTTCAAAGAAAAAAGTTGACTTGTGTCTTTATTAATAGCAACATCTCCCTGTTTTTTGGGATGAGGAAGATTTACATCTCCTCTAAATCTAAATAGAGAATCTGTTTTGTGCCAGTTTTGCTCCAGAATACTTATTGATGACATGTGAATCCAGAGATCCTCGTTTGGTGCATGCACCATGTAGTGAGGGGATGAAATTGGTGGCAGACAGTATGTCAAAACAAGCAAAACACTAGGATTATAAAACTTCAGTCATTTTGCAGCGTATGACTATAAAGTATTTGCCTTCAGGTCCTGGGGGAACAGATGACCTCTGAGGATTATAACATGTATAAAGACACTGAGTACAAACCTTTCACACACGTGCAGGCCCCATGCTGCCACAATCCACAGAGAAACGCTGAAAATCATCAGCACGGTGCCGGGGTAGGTAGTCATCAGTGTTTTTCCCACGAACCGTGTGTTGAAGTGGATCTAAAGACCAAAAAATGGGATGTGTTACGTCATCGTTTCGACAGAAGAGGCCTACTTAGCCAAACTATTTAGGATAGTACCTGTCAAGATTATCCTTACATAATACAGAGGAGATAAGGGATAAGAAAACGTGTTCGCAATCTGGCTGGATACATGGACAGCGGGTTTGGTATTGCAAAAGAGGGTGGAGCAGAGGTCATTGTTTCACTTTTAAATAGCAATAATAAGGGAAGGGATTAGTCAGGTGCAAATATTTAACTGTGGAAAAGAAAGCAGGCACGCAAAGGACAGCCAGCGAGGGGCATTTTGAACCAGCAGGGTACACGAGAGCGAAACTGTGATCATCACACCTCAATTGTCACACTTTTACAGACCTCGCGACCCACCTAGACACAAGACATAAACAAATGTGGATGAAATGTTTGTAAAGGAATGCCAGCTCAAAGCATTGTCCAAAAGCCACTTAAATATTTGGTCTCAGCAGGTTTCACCCTGATAACGGACAGTGCCTGACCCTTTCTCCTTATTTTTATTTTAAATGTGTGTCAAGCTCAAATCAGTTCAGTCATATTCCTAAAGAAACCCCAGGGGTGACCTCCCACCTTATTTAACGCTCCGATGCTGCGGGAGGCGGTGTCGGTGAAGAGGCGGCTGTGCAGCATCATGGCCCGACCCAGCAGGTAGAGCCTCAGAAACATGGGCAGAGCCAGCATGATCTCCAGCTCTGTTTCCGAGAGGGTCGTACGAGTCGCGGTCTTCTGGAAGTACGCCTGCAGCCCCACTGGGTACGGATGAATGGCAGCCACTGCCAGCTCCAAGGCAATCAGAGCTATGCGGTCGGTCGTCATGGCGATCCGCCAATCTTCTGCACCAATGTCGTGAACGTAGAGCTGGCACAGGTGCAAAAGAAGACACTTTTAGTCAAAATTAGAGGTGCATAAAGCTAATATATGCAGATAACACAAATATACGTTTTAACTATGTTATCTAATATCTTCCCTAAAATTATTCTTTGAAACAATTCATAAAAGAAGTTCTGGCAATAATCTTTAAACTTTTAATGTCAGAATCCAATAAAACCTCGATTTAAAAACTCCCCTCCAGTTTTCGGAGATGTGCTGGCTAATTCTGGACTGGTCATGTAAAGGATGACGAGCTGGGTCACCTGCACTTCACAGCAGTGATACGCCATGATGAGGCCGAGCAGGATGAGCGTAGATATGCTGATGACTGACTTTAGTGTGATGGAGTAGATGGAGCTCTGTGGGAGAAACAAACACAGTCTTTAGGGACGGCAGCCATCTTGCATGCATTAACGTACACAGCATACATGCGCTGGAACCATCCATCAGTTTGATGTAAGAAACTTTAGATTGTGTGTTTTTCCTGCAGATTTACAGGCCACAGGTACGCCGACCTTGCTGTAGATGCTCCAGGACAGCTCCGTCTCCATCACCATCATGACCACGCCAAATATCCCCACTGCCAAGGCGCTGTCGTTCAGTCGTTGCCTCCTCAGAAACAGAGCCCTCCTGTGGACCAGCCGCCACCCGATGTTGTGTGTCCTCCAGTATGGGTCCTTCTTGGCGTCCTCCTTGCGTTTTGGGCTGAGCTGAGGACTGGGGCAGGGGCTCTTGCTGAAGCGTTCAAGCCCAGGCAGCGGGCCTTTGGCCTCGGCCGGATGCTTATCATACTGGGATGCCTTGTTTTGCTGCTGCAGGTTGTCGTCCTTGCTGGTGATGATGATCTCTGGCAGACTCTGACGATCGCGCATCTCCAAAGAAACGGTGCCGGACTTGCGGTGCCCTCGCTCATCTACATCCCTAACATCTAAGTTGGGCCTACACGGGGGGGCTTTAAAGGGCGTGCTGCAGGGAGAAATGGGCACATCGGTGAAAGATGTGACCTTCTCCTGGAGTCTGTTCGAGCCTGCATTTTTGGCTTTGCACTGGTGAGTTCGCTCCTTGGGCCCTGGAGTTTGTCTTCCTTCCCCTGACCTTTTCTCACATTTTTTCTCCTTGCTTTTCATTTTCTCTCTCCTCCGGGAGGACCGAGGTGTGGCGGTGACATAAAGGTGGCCGTTGTATAAAGGCGTCGTAGCCAGGACTTGGGTTCTGTCCAGCCACACGGTGTGATCTATTGACGTTTGGACCGTGTGGTGTATCCCACATTGCGGTGAGTAGATCTGAGATGGGGCAACCAGTCTTGGTGGCAGGAGGGGTCGATGATCCTCCACGTCGTCTCCATCTACGACTGATGAGGTCATTGATGGTGAATTTTCCATGTTGAGTGGATTCTTTTTAAAGAGGTTTTAGCCAAGGAGAAAGAGGGAGACATGACAATATTAAACAAGTGAGACAACGATGGTTCGAGCAGATGACAACAGCAGCGTGAAGGAAAATTGCAACTGAATTATGAGGAGCTTAGTCCCAGCATTTTTCATATTTAAGCTCACATATGGTGATTTCTTTAATCTTTCCAATGATTGTATCACTACTTTTGTATGGCATAGCAAAGAATCAAAACAAGTTTATCACACAGTATTGCATGAGGTTAAATAAACAAAATATTTCTCTCCCACTTTTTATTCTTACCTTAATGTGCGGGTCTTTAAGCAGTCCACCACGAGGATTAAAAACAGCTTTATCTGATCGTTTCCCTGAAGGATTTCGGCGCTCAGTCTCTTTGTCCTGAAGGTCACATCTGCCCGAATTTCAAAAGTCTTCAAGTAAACTCTTTGAAAAGGCCCAGAAACAACATGTTTAAAAATAAATGTAAACGTGACCAAGGCAAAAATAAAAATAAAAACTGAAAAGCCAATGTGCTCAGGAGTGTTCACATCAAAATGTTCCAATCGTCCGCTCCAGTCATGCGTGAACTTTCTAGTAATCCAACCGCAGCATCACAGAGCTCCTCCCATAGAGTCAAGTGAAGCTCGTGAAGTTCACGCAAACAGGACGAGGTGCGAGGTGAATATGCGCTGGTATCCATAACATATTCAGACATTTATTCAGCCGCGTTTCTCGCTTTGTTTATTTCCACAGTCAGGGCATCTTCCTTAAAGCTGGAGGGGCTTAATGACTGCAGAGACTCTAAGTTGCAGATGTTGCAAAGGCAAAGACTTGGTCATCTGTCAGAGTTTTTTTTTTTTTGCAGGGGATTGACAGACTTCATCCCCGCCTATGTGTGTGTGTTTATGTGCATGGGTGTGCATGTGTGGAAGCCTGGGGCCAAAGATCAAACTGAAACGAGTCTCAAAGTCAGCACAGAAATGCTGTTTTACTGAATTTTTATTTGTAATCTCTTAAATTAGATTCATTATTGTCATGAGAGGAGTGCGCTCCACAAACCTCTTGACTACAGCATAATCTTCAAAAAAGAATATCCTATCTATGAATTCAGCAGATTGGTATTAAAGATTATTCAGGTGAAATAGAAATCGTGTACTTAGGAGCTTATGAAGTATCAAATATGCCACTCGAATCGAACAATATGTACGGAGCGGTGCGGCATATTAAGCACTGAAGTCATAACAATGACATTCAGCATCATGAATTTATTTAAATCCTTGTGACAGATGGGGCCAAAGATAATAGAGCTCCATCCAAATGGAAAGAGCCAAGGAGCAAAGGGTGGGTGGAGCGCAAGCGGATAGTAGCAGGATAAAAAACAGCGTTATTTAATCCAAAGACAACATGTATTTAACGGTGGATTGACAGAGACAGAGAAGAGTGGGAGGGGGGAGTGCCAGCGCAGGTATCATCCACTGTGATTTTAACTTCCTCAGACATGCCAACAGATGTAAAATGGATTAATTATTCTAAAATATCTCATGCACATAGCCAGCTGCTGCTGGTTTTTATTTTTTATTTTTAATATCCTGCAGACAGAGCATCAATCCGCCTTGGTCTGTCAACAAACCCTCACACATAAGCTCTGAATTCAGCAAAACAAACTAAAATAAGACTGTTTAATTTGATGAAATGGAGCCAGAGTAGAGCCAGCCTTGCTGTGCACTGGTTTCACAGGCTCCCAAATGTTTTTAAATTATGTTGTCCTAAATTATACACATCTGCAAGGATTCGAATTAATTCAAGCCTCTTGCCAAATGCTTGTAAATCCAGACTGCTGTAGCTGGTAGCTGAGTGTCAATTCTTCTTAGCTCCGTGGCCAGCAGCCAGTACATCCCCAGTTAGTCTGCTCTGCTGCAAATCCTCCTCCGACGGTTGGGAAAGTGAAACGAATCGGGGATATTTTGAGTCCACTAATTGCTGTGGCTGGTAAATGGCAAATCTGCTCCGTGCCCTAAATCTTCAGTGTGAGCCAGTTCATCTTCTGGTCAGGTTAATTGCTTCAAGCCTGATCTGGTGGGGGTGGAGTGGGGGGTGGATGAACAAGTGGATGCAGACAGGGCTGACAAATTCAGGGTTTGAAAGGTTAAAGGTTGTGATTAGCGTTAAAAGAAGCGCCCTGCATTTTGGCCAAAGCCGACACATGTGTGGACATTTGCTTACTGCTTCCAAAGGATGTTGTTGCTGTGAGAGCCTTAATTCCATTAGACCCAGTTATTTTTATCCTCTGCTTATTATTATTTTTATTATAACTGAGTAATGAGCACATAAATCTGTATCTGCAACACATTTTTCCTCACGCTTCTAAATATAGCAAGCGGTAAAAGTCTGTAATACACGATGCACATTGCTCCCTGTTTAAAACCACTTATTATGAAAGGAAACAGAAAACCACGTTTCATTGATTAATTTTACTGACACACGAGTGCGTGTCGTGGTTAGTGTTGGGAAATTTTTGATTGTCGCTTTCCCTGTTCCTTCTTCACGCAACGGCAAACATGTCCAGTAAAGTTTAGCTCTGCTGTCGAGTCAAACTTTAAATACTTATTCTCAGAGCGCACTGAGTTGCAGATTTTAAACAGAAATATGTTGCAGACAAACTGTGTGAAGCCACTTCTATATGTTATCACGTTGATCGACAAAGTGTGAGACAGTGTGTGATGTAACTGTTGGATAAATTAATTATCCTACCATCATCTCATTAATCAAATAAGCCACATAGAGTGAGGATACAAGACAATTCTTCAACTCACTTTTACTCCTTGCAA